TCTTAGTGTCCCATGAGTGGGACAGGGTGAGAACGGAAGCTGGAAGGGAGACTTATTTCAGGATCTAGCTGAGAGGCGGTGGTTGCCGGGACAGGGATCACGGCAGTGGAGATGGAGAAAAGTAGGCTGATTTCAGACAAAATTTGAAGGTAGCACCCATAGGACTTGCTGATGGTAATGGAGAAGGGGTCCAAGGAATCAAGCGTCACACCAGGTTCCTGGCTCCAGCCACGGGTGGGGACTGCGCCTCTGAACTTGGACGGGAAGTCAGGAGGAAGGCTGGGCGAGGGAGGGCGGGAGCTGTGTCTCCTGTCCCCAAACGCAAAGCCAAGATTTGGAAAGAAACATGGGAACTGCCCGGCTTTAAGTTGGTAATATTTCCACAGTTCAAAGAGGGACGGAAGTCATGACCGCCCTCAGAGGAGTGACGGGGATTCCTGCAGTGACACAGACCCTCTGGTGTTGGAGCTGGTGGCAGCAGTGGGCACCCTGTGCCTCTCATCTCAGCACCTGCCTGACTATTCCACCTCCACCGAAGGGACACGGGCTCTCTGATTCCCCAACATGATTTCCATGTGGGTGTTTTGTCGTTATTTGCAGTTCAAATGAACAAAATTGCCTATCGAATATTCCAAGGACAGAACAAAATGCTCTGAGAATTTCTAAAATCATGATCTAGAAATATTGTTAAAGGCAAAAGGCTACTTTGGAGCTTTGATCCCTTAAAAAAAATCAGAGAATTGGTACACACTGTTCAATGTTGTTAAGTGAATTAACAAATGGGTTAGACAGAAATGAAGGCATATTTAATTTGTAATAGGTTCATTTTAATAGTTTAAAGATATTTGAACTGACTTCCTAATTGCTCATTCTTTAAGGTATTTTTACTATCAGGCACATCTGCAAGTCCAGCCAAGGCCAAGTTCATTCAGTTAACACACTGCCCATCACGACATCCCTGCCTTCCTCTGTGATGATGCTGCCTCTGAACGACTGTTGCAGTCGCCCCCCCAGAGGATCTTTATCAGAGGAAAGGACTGGTGGGAGTCCAGTGAGATTAACAGGAAGACACTGCGGGGAGAAAGTTAGTCATGGGTCCCAAGTTAACTAGTCTCCACGATAAACAGTTATGCTGAGGCTCATACTGTAACACTGAAGCTTGCCTGAAGCTTTCTGGAAGATAATAGGCTAATGATTTCCTCCAAGTAAAAACTTTCTTTATTTAAACTAATGGCATCTGAAATCACTTGAATTAAAAGCTGTGCTCAAATTGTGAATGTGTTTAGCCCAGAGAAGGCAGGCCAAGTATGCTGTGCTTTGCGGGACATGCAACAGTAAGTTCTTGCCCAGTTTCCGAAAGTGACCTTGAGAGGAAGCAAAAGTCATGAAGGGCCAGGTTTGCAGGGGGCAGCCATCCAGCTTCTTCCCCTTCTGAATGACTCTGTGTTTCAGAGGATCGTGTCTGCGTGCTTGAAAAAACAGGATCTGGGGGGTGTAAAGCAGGTGACTGCCGACTAAGTCTCAGGTGAGAACTGAGCAGATGCCGGATGCCTGCTCAGCAGGCGACAATAAAAAGAGGGGCTTCTTCCACTCCTTGTTCCCTGTTCTTCTAAAAAAACTAGTAACTTGAACCTCAGAGCTGAAATCTGAAGCACAGCCCAGTTGGTCACTTTTTGGCCCAGCAGGCGGATGCCCCAGCAGCCTAACGGATATGAGACATTAGAAAGGAGGGGCAGGTTTTAAAGTTCAGAATGAATTTCCAAATAACGTTAGCAGGACCTAAATTTTGCATCCCTGAATTTTTAACAGACAGGTGATGACTTACACTGGAATATTCTTTTTACCCTTCACATTCGATTTGTCAGACTCTTTAGAAGATGCCTCTTTAAGCAGAGCAAGTAATGACTATAATTCCTGGTTGAACAAACATTTATCATAAATTTGGTTTAGTAATATGTATACATTTTAACAATATATGTTTTTAAGATTTGAGAATAGGAATCTTTCTCCCAGTTATGATTTGTAGATCTGCTTCTGAATTAAAATTAATAGAAAGATAAGGCCAGAGATGTGTCAGTCGAAAAAGAACCTTTTATAGTCCCTGAGGAGTCGACTGTTCTCTGTACGATGCAGGAGCCAGGCAGACTCTCACCGCCGGCTCGTCTCCCAGCCCGGGGCGCTCAGGGGCAGTCCTTGGATTTGTGGTGCCCTTTAAAACAGCAAACTGAAGCCTCATTACTGAGTCAATGAAGATTAGGGAAGACTCCGAGTCTTCCCCAGGGATTAGTTGCTACTTTAAAACCAGGCTGGATTGGAAAAGGAATTCTCCCAGGCACCAGTGGATTAATCTTGCCATTTCTCCACTGAGATAAATGAAGGAAGAAACGATGCCAGCAAACACTCTTCTTACAAAGGATCCTCAGAAACCAAACAATCTACAGAGCCAACACTAAGATTTATAAGCGGCAGGAAGCATGTTGGGCCTTCAAAAATAAAATAAGTTCCCCTGCTTCTCTTGGCCGCGTGCTTCTATTATTTTCAGACTCAAGCCAGATTATCCACATGTGAGAAATATTTCCTTGTGGATTCATCTCAGAAGAGTCACACCAGCCTGCTCCTCACGGGCCACCTGGAGGGTGGGAATGTGCCAAGAGAATGGAAATTAATAGCTAAATTAGGCCAAAACAAATTTAACTGAGAGGAAAATCAACCTCAGAATACGATATTTATGTATTTATTTTCAAAGCCCCAAATAAATAATATTTAGAGTGCTATCCCCCTTATTGTTATCAATAAATAATGTGATTAATAAAATATGGGGCACAGATATTTAACCAAATTTCAAGTGGGAGAGAGGTACTACAAGTCGATCTTTAAGAACTGAGTGAAGTCAGGAAGGCAACATGATTTCAGAACTAACCCGTGTAATGGCTTTGTGTCTCTTCTTCACCAGATGTGTAACCCTAACGGTAACCTAACATCCGTTACCTTCCATCGGTCAATGTAGGTTATCCTAGTCCGTGGAGACAAGTCCTTTCTATAAGAAGCTTTGTAATGCACTCGTGGTTGTCTGTTACGAATGGCACAGAAGGGATGCTTTTCTGAGTGGGTCGGCCTCAAACACACCATCCAACTGAACTTTCTGGCATCCTAAGAGGACCTTCCATTTGAAATTGCTCTACTGCTCTCAAATTGGAGAAGACAACATGAGGAGAGCAAGTAGCATTTTATCAAGCAATCCAAATGAGCAGGCACTGTGCCTGGGATTTTATTTGACATTTCATTTCGTACTCACAACAGCTCTGCGACGTGGGGTTCTTATTATCTCCACTTTGCAGAAGAAGAAAGAGAAATCACTTTTCTCAACATCACACAGCAACTATTAGGTAGCTTCCAAGTCTGCCTTCAGAGTCCACTCAATTTCCAGTAAATATCCTTTACCCTCCATCTATAATACGAGGATATTGAAAAACAATCTTGCCTCAATGAATAATAATAATGACAAATCCTAAGTCTGGAGAGTTTGAGTTAATAGGTTTACTTTCACTGAACTCGGACAGTTTATGGTAAGGATTATTTAAACCAGATTATTTTCAAAGCTGTAAATATTATAAAATAAAATTCAAATGTAAAAATGGATATTAAAATTTTTAATTTTCTGTCAAAATTGTAAAGTCAACAAGAAGAGAAAAGCGCTTTCATAGGTTTTATCTGTTTTGGGACACTGACAAGCCTTGTACAGTTCGTAGACTGGAATGCATGATGTGGTTAGTTACTAACTTGATATATTTTTTAGACCAGGTACCTTTTTAACGTTTACCTTAAAAATAGCAGAATATTGATACACAATGTGATTGCATATTTTTTACCCATAAGGATTTTAGGTAATAATATCATTTCTAGTTTGCATAGGCTTATTGAATTATATCCTCTCTTTCTTTATTGTTTTGTTTTTAATAAGTATACATGTGAAGCACCCAAGTCATTTGCCGTAACTCTGAATTTTCTTCCTTTGACACCTTCGTGGTTACCATTCTTAAAATAAGTAATTTCAATTAACTCCAGTTTTAAAAGTTTAATTTCTTGCCAAAGCTTATGAATGAAAACATTTGGTAGTTGTGTCTTGTGTCAAATATTCAAAGTAAGTCTTTTTAGTAACTGTTTTCTTTGTAAATGTCATCCTTCAATTACTAAATCAATTACTTTTTAAATCAATATCACCTAAACTTACACAAGAAAGTACAGTTATTAGAACAAAGCAGTGTTCTGAGGCTGGTTGGGGGACAGGGTGATGAGTTGTCTGACATGCTCCCATACACCAAGGAGTGAAGTCTGACTCAGTCTCTGATCCAACAGCTACTTCTGAAACCCTCCCAATAGAAAACATAGCTAAAAATGAACATACATTTTACTCATTATTTTTACTTTTTCCAAATCTTACACTTCTCCAAGTGTATGAATTTTTTTCTCTGGAGCGCTTTAAAGTAGCTTGATCAAAGCACGCTGGGTTAACACACTGTACTCTGAAGAGCAAGGTGCACAGAGGAAAGCTTCCCTTCAAAGTAGAATTAATTTTTCTCTCCTAAAACTACCTGGTATTACTTGTTCTCTAAATATTTTGCAATAACTAAGGTATCTAGACCAATGGACCATAATACTGTGAATTTCAAAGGCTAACCATCTGAGATGATACTAGATGATATCTGGGAGAGTGAAAAGAACACTGAGTCAAGTCCTGGCCCTCGGGATGAAGGCCCCCCGGAGGAGGGCAGCACTCGCGTTCCCTGGACTTGTCTCCTCGTGGCCAAGGTGTGGAGGAGAATGTCTGCCCATCAGGACTACACGAGGGGGCTGTGCGAAGTAAGTGCCAACATTTGAGCCAAGCATGGTAAAGCGTAAAGCGCTATGCACACTTCATTATTACCATTACACTTCTGTAAGCTACTAAGGGTCAAGGCCCTCAGAACTCAAAGAAAGAAGATACATGAAGTCTGATTTACCACTTCTTCATTTTGAAACTCCGGGTTACACTGTGCGGCTTCTTCTGTCACCGGTTTCTGAACAATGTTCCTACAGACGAGCCAGATGGTCAGACTAGCAATGAACATCCCGATGTCAGGTACAAACACTCTGATCCCATTGCCAGCGTCGGCTCCCTTTAAGCTATGGAGGGAAAAGGAAGGCGGAGGAAATTTAGTTGCTGTTACATTTCTGTGGTTAAACTGTCTTAAAATGCGTTTGCATCTTCTTAATATTTAGAATAAGAGATGTCAGTTTCTGCCTCGATGGTACCAGAAAGCTTTGCATTGACCTCAGAATCTCATGGAATCTAAGATTCAGGAGGGTTCCAGGGTTTCACTGGAGTTTCAGAAATATTATGAAGAATCCCAAACCAATTCTCACTCCTAAAATAGGCTAGTGAACTATATTGTTATTAAATAAATCACATGTCGAGTACAGATACAGGTGTCTGCAATCTAGCTAAAGCCGTTAAAAACTAGACATTACTAGCAGCTAGGAGATATTTTACCTTCGATGTACATCAAAGCTGGAAGGGAAAAATGAGACGTTAAAGTAATCTTTGATGCCAGGAACTCGTCATTATTTTAAGTATTTGGTTGATTGTTTTCCCTACTGTTCAAGAAAGGTAGATCTAGTACGTTTCTTCCTTGAATCTTGGAGAATTAACCATGAACTTAGATTTGGGGTCAAGGGCAAGTATGACACTGCCTGGCTGAGTTCCACTGGAGGACTTCTCAGGGTCACATGGTCTTCCTCTGTGCCAAAGAGATAACACTATGCCTTCTTCATCTCATTTGAGTCAAATGAAAGTGAGTCACTGTTTATTAGAGATGAAACTTGTTTAGGGACAGGAAGCAAAAGATAGGAATATATATCATATAAAGATATATTTTTTATATATACTTTATGTGATTAAATACATACTATAATCATTTATACTGTATAGATTATATATTTCAGTAAAAACATAAAAATATCATAAATAGCAAGACCCCCATCACCTAGAAATAATCATTGTTAACATTTTGGTCAATTAAAAAAATTATTAGTAATGTCTACCACTTACAGAGCAATTGCTGTGTGCTAAGAGCTTGGCATACATTATTTAATCCAACCAACCACCATAGAGTTAGGCATTAATATTTATCCTCCTTTTACATATGAAAGCCAAGGCTTCAAAATATAAACTTACTCCCCTAGAGTCACGCAGACAGAGTGAGAACAGAATTACCCTCCAGCTCCCTTTAAGTCCAAATTTTATGCTGTCAACCACGGCATTCTCATGGCTGCATCCACACGGCCTTCCCCTCAGTCTCCCTTTCTGCATCGACACCCATATTTAGAGTTAATAAAACTAAGCTCATACCTCACCTATTGTTTTGAAACGGATTTGATCATTTAATATATCACTAAAATTTCCACAACTTATTGCTGATGTTTAGACATCAGCATGCTCATGGTCAGATAGCGGTATTTATTTAACTAGTCCACTACTGCTGTACACTTAGAATATTTCCATCTATTTCTTACTATAATATAAATAAAAGTTAAATCTCAAGTAAAAAGTCTTCTAATCTAGAATGTTATAGGAAAAATTCCTCAGACCAGTCTAATTGGCTTTCTAAAACGATGATCTGGAACAGTGCGTGCCCTGCACAAGCTCTGTTTTTACAAACGGCTCTAAACTTCTCTGAACAGAGAAGCATGAAAGTAATGACAGATCCCCTTACCTCCATAAATAAGACAAACATGGTTGTGTGAAAGGTTTTAAGAAACGGACAATTCCTTTCATTTGGGGTAAGAGTAAGAGAATTCAATCAAGAAAGCTTCATCCAAACTAAATTTATAATAAGGACATCTGATGATTGATTTGGTCACAGGAAGAATGTTGAGGTTCGTTGCATGCTTTTTAAGCATGGCTAGCATGATCACAGAGCAAACGAGAAGTGATGTCATGAGAATGAGAAGGAAAGGGGGATCAAGGAGGGAGACCAGCAAACAAAAGCCAGGTGTGGGTGGGTGTTTCCTGTGTGGGGCTGAGGTCAGGAAAGCCTGCTGGTCCTCCTTGGGTGGATTTCGGGGAATAGACTCTTAGAGCTCTTTCACAGAAAACGAACTGACTGTGGCATTTTATGAAAAGCACCAACCAAGCGGGGCAGAGGGGAAAACAGTTCTTAAAGGAAAGGTCACCAGAGCTCTAGCTGTGGCCTCAGCAGCTTCTTGCACCACAACAGAGACTCAGGAAACCAGAGTAGAGTCTCTCCAACCTGCGGACTCCATTAAGCTCCCGATTTGCAAACAGTCGCTTTGAGGCAACAGTCTCAGCTTTGTGCTTCTTGGTCCCCAAAGAGACATTTCCCAGCATGCCTATATTAAGGGAGTAAATGAATGCAGTTTGCAAAAGCAATCACTTCACCCAATAGAATTCAGCTACTGGATCCAGGATTGGGCTGCGATCCAATTTAGAATAGAATCCTTCAGCCACAGAGGTGCTAATCTATAACCACTACTCTTGGCTTGCTGAGTTAACAAAGCAATGTATTCATAATACTGCCCTTGCAGAAACAAGGAGACCTTTGAAGAATATAATGAAGAGCATGTATGATGAACACGTCATAGTCTAATTGATATGTCACTTAGGGACCATCTTATCGATAAAGCTTCCTTCTTCATTGTTTTGACCAGTGTCTACTAAAGTACAGTAATCAGAACACTAGTCTTCAGAAATGGTGTGAATTAAAACAAAACAAGACAAAATAAAAGAAAAAGATCTTAGTCAACTAAGTGTTAGAAAAACCACAATGCATATTGCTTACAGTAAAGGACTTGAGAAGTTCTATAGTAAAACAATAAATTTGAGTTTGTTTAAGCTTCTGTTTCCCAGATTTATTTGATCACAAACCATTCTTAAACATTTTATCCAATGCCTAATACAGTCTGCTGAGCGAGTGCTCACAGCACAGTTTTAGGAAATGATGCATTACAGTCTGCTCACTGGTCTAGATTTTTGATGGAAATAAATGGACAATTTGGAAACTATACTAATATGTAGCCAATTCCTATAAACTTGGTTTTCAATAGGCCTTTAACAATTTTAGAAGTCAGTGACATCTCATTCCGTTCCCTCATCCAATCACCTGACTATCCATACATTCACTCGGTAACTCATCGCAATTACGGAGATGGAAGAGAACCAGAAATAGTCTAGTCTATCTCCTCATCTCACAGGTTGTATGAATCAACCAGCAGAAAGGTTAAAGGGTTGGCTCAACTGCACAGTTAGGGGGAGAGCACCTTCTTCTCCGAGCTGTCTTCTGAGTATAGCCAGCACTCACTGTACCTGTCCCCACCTTGTCCATCTCCTACCTACTGCAATAGGCTTCCTCACCCACACTGTTCAGAAAATGCACTGTTAGGGGTTACCAGTGATCTCCCAGATGCAAGGCCCAAATAACTCATGCTAGTTCTCATCATGGTCCACCCCTGTGCGGCATTTAGCAAGCAAGATCAATCGCTTCTGCTCTCAGATCTACTGTCTTTGGTTTTCTCACCTCTGTCTTCTGGTTCTTTTCCTACCTGTGAGTATCCCTGAAATCTCACATTGCCAGGAAATTCCCCTAAGAAATGCTGGGCTGTGTTGTACCCAACAGACACTTCCCCACCTCCTCCTTAAATGTTGATGAGTCTGCAAGGTTCTGCTCCCCACTTATTTCTCTTCTAACTCTACATGGAAACCTGAATGATATGTCCACCCCCCAGACTCCAATCAGCATCTATCTGATGACTTACAGATTTACATACGCAGTCCATTGTGTCCCCGAGACACATTAGCAGATGTCTTCACTTCAGTTTTCCATAGCTTTTCAAAACCAAATGTTACCTTTATTCCAAAATCTGATCTGCCTCCTGTATTCCTAACCTCGAAAAATGGTGCTGATGTCTATCTAGCAATAAAGACAGAATCTTGACCCTGCCATTCTCTTACTGAAAAACATTTCTCTTACCTCGCCTCCTCTTATCTCTACAGCTCAGTTCTGGCTGCTGGATTACTGCAACAGCATCTTTATTATTTTGTCTTAGATTGTCCCTTCTGCCAATCAGGCTTCCACATTACTGTAAGAGTTTAATTTTTAGAAGCATAAGGTTGAGCATGTTAACTGCACCGCCTACAGGCAAGGTCCATTTTCCTGAGCACAGCCTACGAGACCCTCTGTGTTCCAGGCCCTGTTGGCCTTATCTGTTGCTGTGATTTCCGTGTACCTCAAAGGCCAGCCATCCTGAATGCATATACCCAGAATATGCAAGTGTTTTCCCTCCAGGCTAGTGTGCAATCTTTTCCCTTGGCTAACGATGCCCTTCTCCCACAACATTTTTACATTCTCCTCATCTCTCAAGACTCACCTCCCACATCTCCACTGTGAAGCTCTTTCGCCACCCTTCCTGTAACAGAATTGGCCACTTCCTCCTTTAGATGTCTGCCATACTTGCACACATTCGATCATAAAATGTGGAGCACTTTACGTCACTCACTTATTTACAAATCTTCCTGACAGAGCCTCCTGTCTGTTTCCTCTCTGTATCCATGAGGACTATGTATGCATGTATATACATACACTATATGTGTGTGTGTGTGTGTGTGTGTGTGTAGCAGGGTGCGCTCTGAGTAAAGGGTGGTGGAATGAATGCTATCTCCAAATATTTACTCTTTGTTTCTCACGACATTAGTTTGTGTAAAGCACTGTTGAAGAATCAGACAAGATGTCTGCTACAAAGGGCCCTGTAGTTTAGTTCAGGGAAGATCAAGTGCAAACACAAATGGGAAGACACATTGCTGTTGTCCAGTGAATGGCTGGAGATCGGGGGAAGTCATGAGTAACATCTCAGTTATTTGGACAGGAAGATTTAATTGTCAAAGTGGGAAATTATAAATAATTTAAAAAATATATATTCAGTTTTATTAAATATATACATTGGAGAAAACATTTCAAGAACAAGAGATATGAAGTGTATCTTTTGAAGATTAAATCACTTGATTTGGCAGAATTTTTTATTCATTCATTTAAAAAGTATTTATTAAGCATCTACTATGTGCCAGGCACTGTCTCTGGGCACTGAACATTGGTTACAAAGGTGTGCAAGGG